AATCTCACCATTTTGGGGGCCAAACAATCTCCTTTTGCAAAAGATGCTGTGGGGGGGGTACTTTTAATGCTAATGAGCTGGTCAGAAATTCTCACTTGAATTAGTGGTCTGCACCCTTAAACGCTGGGCGGTACATACAACAATATTGATCTCCATTATAAAGACTGAATAGGGCATAGCTCATTGTCTGTAAATAGAACGCGTTGCCGAACAATTGCAGCGCAATATATATATATATATATATGTATATTATGCATTTCTGTCAAAACTGATTATTAGTTCCCCCAAATAGTCGGTCTCTGGTCAGCAAGCGCGTCAATTTTGAATGTGCGGGTCCATTTTTCCCGTTTTTTTCTCAAAATTTTCAAAACAGTGCCCTCTATTTCCGCACCACCTGAATGTTCTCGAGTAGACTGATTCCCTGTCACAAGTTAGAAGGGCAATTGGTTCAAGGAACCAGACTAATTCGTGGGTAGCTTGTACCCGGTGATAGATCTGTTACGACTGCTTAATGTTGATGTCGAACACAAACAGTAGACCATGGGTCCATGGGCAGGTTACAAAGTTGCAGCCAGCTGACCAACAACAATGGCGGCATGACGTGCGACGCGCTACTGCTAGCCTTTGATTTGATTAAATATGCCACTCATTTCCGAGTCCGTTGCCAGTCTTAAAAAGCCTATCCCACCTCCACCCCCAAAAAAAAACACGCATTGCTGTATCCATTCTGGAACTTGGGTCTGACCAGAGACCGAGTAATTTTTTTATTTTTTGGCCCTACTGACATAACCTTTTTCTCATGGGACAATGGCTATTAGCCCTCGGCCTCCCTCCTGAGAACAAACCAAAAATAAATAAAAATGCAAGAATATCATTTCTGAATTTAACTGACCATTTTCTTATTAATTAACCCACTCGATATCAACAATGTTAACCTGTTTTTTGTGTATGTGTGTTTGATTTTGTTTTTAATTTATATATTACACCTGTTGTCTACGGTCTCGCTTTAGCAATTTTTCACTTTGGGTCGGTTCAATTGTGATTTATTCAGTGTGTAAAAATTTGGGAACTCCACCAGTATGGTGTTCCATATGTGCCATCCGGCGTCGAATTTTTCAACCGGCGTCGCATTTTTCGACGGGCGTCGCATTTTTCAACCGGCGTCGCCTTTCAATGTGAATAAGCCATTAATCATCAATGGTCAACTTTGGTCCAGCCGGACCTGCCGTTGTTGACTTGGATGCTAAAAGTGTTCGGACATATTTTTAATAATTACGGAAACGGCTAAATTAGCATGTATGCGTCGATTAACTGTATGTAAATAAATTAACAGGCATTTAATGAACCCGATTACTCGTGGAAGTTCACCTCGCTCAATTTGGTTTCTCACTTCTGCAAAAAAATGTCCCCCTGCTGATGATTACTGGTTGCCACAAAAATCGAACCCAGTATGGTAGGCCCATTGTTCACTCTGGTTGGTATGGTACTTGCCATCTTGCACTGGCAGACATGCTTCCCGAGGGAGCGTTTATCGCAGTACGGTCTATCATTTCAAATGTAACTACTCTTGGCGAAGAAATGTCACGCACCATAACTTTGAGAAATTTTACTTTTTCTTGTTTAAAAGAAGTTGTAAGCGATTCAAAATCACGCAGAGTTTTCCGAAAACACTTTTTGAACCATGAAAATCTGTCCAGAGGAAGCCAAGAGTGATCTTATTTTTTCATTACAGGAGTAGAAAGGTATTTCACACGTTTGAAGTTGTTCAGGCAATGGTCCGTGGTTCAGGCATTCCCCCCGTGGAGGCCGTCTGGTCATGGGCTTGAGATCATTTATCTTTCTTTGTTGGGGGGGGGGGGGCTTGTGTTTATTACTTAACGAAATGACTTTTCCCAAGGTCTTGAGGACTAAATGTGGATTTTGGTTTGAAAAGTGTCACTGTTTGAAAAGGCTGTTTCGTCGTAGCTGCTGAGCGCTGCTTCTTGATTGACCCTGGGGTTACACGTACATGTACATGCGTTTCTGTCTAATTTTCTTTGTTCTGTGAGAAATATTGCTGTACGTGTGAGAATCTCCACAACAGATAACTTCATTCTTTATTAGTCTAGTTTCGAGTGTTTTATAATAAGCTGGCGGTACCGGTGATGGACGAGATCCTGGCCTCCATAGGTCTTTCCGATGAAGTGATGAAAAAGGCGACGCCCGTCAAAAATGCGACGCCGGTTAAAAAAATGCGACGCCAGCTAAAAAATGCGACACCAGCTAAAAAATGCGACGCAAGTCAAAAAATGCGACGCCCGTTGAAAAATGCGACGCCGGTCGAAAAATGCGACGCCCGTTGAAAAATGCAACGCCCGGTCTAAAAATGCGACCAGATGGCACATATGGAACACCATAACCAGGACACACATTAGGTTTTGTCAGTAACATTATGATGTCCAAACTGTCCATGTGTTTTCCGTCTGGTTTCAATGAGCCAACACTGAAAAAATTCATCAATAAAATGAAAGTCTTAATTTTAATTTTACGCACTCGCAAGAAAAAAATGTACTAAATAAAATTCATTCATATATTGAGTAAATTTTATTAAAAAACCGGCATGCGGCATACGGAAGTGTGAGAATCTTTTCTGTGAGTACAAAGTGAGCACAGCTTTAAAATTCAGTTTTGGAAACCACTTTTGCCAATAAGTAACATTTCATACGGTCCTGACTTCAGTATAGGGAAGTCTCATAATACAGAGCCTGATAGGATAGATTGTCTAAACACGGTGTTTATTTTTGGTGTGATAATCAAGTGATAATCCATTCTGCATCCACGATTCTACGTTATATCAGCTTAAATTAACCACTTACAACAAGAGATTTGAATTTCGTCGGTACTAAAGAGTATTGGCGGAAAATAATGGAATTTACGTTTTAAGTTGCTGCAAACAGACGTTTAATGTCCCGATAATAAACACATAGGCCTATGGTAAACACGTTCACGCCTAAACGCACTGCGTGTTCAAATGTTTAATGTGTTTAGTTTATAAACGCTGTCGTCTTCAGGGGAACCTTTTTTTAAAGCGCGCACAGCCAGATCTTAGTTTGGACAAATGGAAAATAACCTTACAGCATATATACACCAAAGATGTACCGATCTTTACATGTTTGATGTACACATCGGTTTAACTATTAACGTCATAACTTCTGATCAAAATAATGTTGGGTTAACTGATGGTTAATTAGAAGTGGCAAACCACCCTTTTGTAATAACCTGCCTCGATTTAGTTTCCATAAACTTCCCAACTATTGTTTTTTCAACGTGTATAAAAATTGCATAGGGAGAGATAGACAGGATGTGCAGGCATTGTTCCCATTAATAAATTAATTGGTTGAAAGGCTTTCTAAAATGCACTCAAAAGCGGAATTTTAAATAAATTAGTAGAGAAAATGTTCAAATTTACATTGTGATGTATACAGAGGAAACTGTGATTGATGAAGAATTTAATAAATTACAACCTTTTATTGGATTGAGTCAATTGGTTTTAACTTGAGATGAGTTTCTGTGGTAATGAACACCTTTGTAGGCCTTGATATATACACTGTCTATCTTATAGTAGATTAACTCAACATTACTGTCGTTACTGAAGGACTTTCATTATCAAATAGCGCAACCCTTTGTATACATGTATATAATGATAAATTCAATGCATGTACGGCTTCAAATTTATTTATGCACTGTAATACCCTGTAAGTCTGTGCAATCAATTGAACTTATGACATTTGTCGATGTTACCAGAGCTTGGTCAGTGATCTTTGACTTTAAATGGGCGTGATGTTACTGCATTCAGAAAATTTGTTGTTTTCCTCAATTAAGCTATCAAAATGCCGCTCGACATTTGTAAAACTCATAATTTGGAAGTAACAGAGGCTTTATGGAAATCAAACTAATTATCGTTTTGAGACACTAAATCTTGCAGGGTAATTCTTTGTAAGTGAACACGGCGTTATATACCAATTCTCATGATTTCAAATGGACGACTTTCCTGACAGGACAAGCAGTTGCTGGTTTCGCTCAAGACATGGCCAAAATGCTTTATGAAAATGTTACATTTGTAGAACGGCAATAAAGAAAGCACAATTCATGACATCACTTTCACGTTGAGGGAGCCACAACGTACAAAACACGAAACTCAGACGTTAAACCGCTCAGACTGATGACACAAGGAGAGCATCCGACTTACGATTTGAAGATTTTCTTTCAATGACTGCAATTATAGAGCTTTGCTGCGGGGAACTGCAATGTCACAGCCGCCGCTGGATAACATCGAGTCTTTGGACAGTATCCCTTTGATCAGTTCTCAGGATTATGGTAAAAAAGAGGTTTGGGATTTATCACCGGTGGTTGTGAAATGCTCTTATCGGTGGATTATGTTTTGATATAATTATAGTGAGTTTTTCGTTGATGGGTTGAAGTATCGATTTTTCAGCAGTGGATTGCGGATTTTTCATGGGTGGGTTGATTTTTTTTAATTGAATAGTTGTGGTTTTAGAGATAGCCTTTGATACTGAGACTTTTACATGCTTTGACAGTCTTAATATTATTTCCATTGCTTGATGTGGACTTTTCATTTTCTGGGTTGTGGGTTTTTTGGTAGACTGTTTTGTTTCGCTTGTTTCATTGGTGCACTGTTTAGTGTCATTGAAGGATTTCGGGTTTTTTCATTGATTTTGTGGATTATGGACTTTTTATTGAGGGTTGTGTTTTTCGAGTTTTAAAGTGTCTCATGTTTGGATTTTCTTGGGGTGTATTTTCCATCGATGCATGCATTTATTCACTTAGGTTTGAAGCTCCAAATCTTGAGTTTTGTTATGGGAAGCCTAGAGACGCTTGATGACAACAAAAATACTTGTCTTTTTACCAGTTCTGAGCATGCGTGCGGTTGCTCAGAGCATGCGTGAAAAGTTCTGAGCACACGCAATATACCTGAAAAGGGCCCAGGAATGTCTGCTGCCACCAGAGTTTCAAAGTTTCCTATTGGGCAAGGTATGTGACTAAGGCTGAGTTCGGGCGGCTTGTTCCCGTATGTTAACGAACAGCTCGATTTGTTGTTCGTGGGTCGGCTGCTTGAACGCTGAGAACAAACCACCGGTTATCGCAAGCAACATGCAACGTGGCGGCGTCCATAATATACGTTATTCGAGAGTTAAGGTTTGGATGGGCTGAATTCTTTTCTATATAAACAGGAACGTTTATTTTTTTTTTTTTTTTTTTTTTTTTTGTGTGTTACGGAAAATAATTAATGTTAATTTTGCAAAATTTCCCATTGTCTACATGGTCTATGTATTTGGGAGCCATCTCTCTACTTTTTGCAGCTGTTCAAAAATCAAAACCTCACAAGTTTTTCCGTGTGTTCCTGTAAAACCCTGACGATGAGGTGGTGTGTGATCCTGTTCCGAGAACAGTGTTCTAAAGTCGTGTTCCCGCTGTTCGAGCGCAAGAACAAGAAATCCGTGCCAAGAACACGGCGCCCGAACTCGACCTAGGCCTAAGGGTCCTTTACACAATTTGGTTAAGAGGGAGACTATGTACTTGCATACCCCAGTTACTTGAAATGAATCGTACGAAACTGATCTATCAGAGTTCGCAATTTAGACATACCCCTCAGACAACCATATGGAATTTGTAGGTTGCGCATCCTGCGTCCATTTTGAGTATCATGTAAGGGGAGGCTTTGAGACGCTGGTGGCCTCAGACATACCTGTCGTCTTTCAAGGTATTGCGCGTGCTCAGAACTATGTACGCAAGCTAAGCTCAGAACAACGAGCGCATGCTCAGAACTGGTAAAAAGGAGCGTCAGTGTTGTGTCAGTCATCTCATTTCATCACATTTTCATTTGATTGGATTCGATTTGATTTATGTGTTATTTTATTGTTTAACAAAAGTACAGTGGTTTGCTTTTTTACTGGTTAATGTTTAAAGTAACCGATCTGGAAGAGTTTTCACTGACGTGGGCTGTTTGAAACCGAAATGGTTCTGTACTGTCAAAAGGTGCACTTGTCACATAATGACAGTCTAAAAACGTTTTTGACTCTTTGTAAACGAAGTTGACTTGAAAGATTTATTCTCGATTTACGTATCCTTTTGCCGCCTCCGTAACGTTATGATGAAAAAAAAACGATACTCTTAGTACACCCCCCCATAAAATACGTGTAGGAAGATGCTGATGACGCTTCGACTGCACTAAACGTCTGAGAGAATACACTGCAGTCTTTGCAGTCTTTGCTTTTGTAAAAATACATTTGTTGCATTGTCACCTTAATCTAAGCTAACACTTGAATGACGATTTGGAAATATTTTGAACTAATTTTGCCTAATATTGATTCAATAGCTGTTTACAATAATCGACTTCATCTCTATTTCAGGCTTTGTCTCCAAAATCAATCACCGATTGTAAGCCTGAACCATTCAAATGAAAATGGAGTACTGTAACATTTTGCTCTTTTGCATCTTGTTTGATGTTCCTGGGCATTAAAGGACTTACTATTGGGCTAACAACTTCAAAGTCAGGTGGTTTAAAAACGAAAAAAGAAAAAAAGATGATGCCCGAAGGGAGACGAAGTCAAGTATTGGAAAACGACCGTCCATGTCCCAATTTTGCTCTGAAATTCTCCAGCTCGTTGCAATCTGCCACTAGTACTCTGCCTGCTAACACGCAACTAAGGGTGAGCCTTCGAAAAGCGCCCTCTCCCCCCGTCCTTGTGTTAAATCTCTATTTATGGGCGCGTTTGGTCATTCTCCTTTTTGAAGTTCCGTACATTTATTTCGTTATGATAGTCTTTTTCCGAAAAATGAAAAAAGAGAAACATATAAACGTACCCATTTGCGCTAACCTTGGGAGTTTAATGGGATAAAGTATTTGTAAAATATTTCCTTCTTTGCAATTGAAAAAGTATCTATAAAAAAAGGCATCCAGCCATAGTGAACTCTAATCATTGTCTTGTAATCTAAATCAATTTATCACGCTTGTAAAAGACGCGATTTCTTTATATGAAAAGTCACGAAGATTCGAGGAGACATGTTTAGAGGAACATTCAGAGCCCTAGGAAAACTGTCCATTATTTCATTCCCGTTTTTATAGGTTTCCATTACGTTTGTAATGGGAATTCGCGTTGACGCCTACCATCAGTGGCGTAACCCAGGGCTGCACACATTTTTTCAAGGGGGCACCACATAGCTGTATAGCTATATAAACTCAACGGAGATTTCAAATGGGGGCACCCGGAGGAGGCACGGGCATCCTCTGGGGGCACGTACCCACCCTTCGTGCCCCTATAGTTACGCCTCTGCCTATCATTCAGTTCGCTTTTATTTTTTGCTCCATGCTTTTATACGATCATCATCAAGGATTCCGACGTTGCAGATTACGCTGACAGATTGGACTGCTCCAGTGGGCCGCACTGCTTGTGAGGATCTTGGTATAAGTTGATTAAGTTAGTTCAGTGGGTGGTAATAATCTGGGCGCTTATCTCAATAATCTCATGGGTCCAAATTCTAGTATACGCCCCTAGCAAACGAAACGTTGTATGCACTGCACAGCGTGCAGGTCACTACGTGTTTGCTGTCGACGTGAGTTCAACTCTATTATGCCCTTGTAGCTGGGTACACTGGGTTGAGTTCCTACTCACGTCGCACCGAACGGCAGCAGTGTACTACACTTTGTGCCACTGGTAAGTGTATGGTCTACATTTTGTTTCTCCTTAGCATTGTGACTTATTTGGAGGAATAGATTAATTGTTTTTGTATTTTACTGGTGTCTTTCTCTTGTAGGAAGTGTTAAGAAAGTAACTGTCACAATGGGTATGGACGGGACGCTCGAGGTGGATAGGGAGACAGGCAAGCCCGTTCGCAAGGGCATGTACTGCAGCCATGCACAGATGCTGTTTGTGTTTATCACGGCATGCATTATCATCATTGGTGTGGGGCTGTTGGCCTACTACGTACCTGACAGGTGTGCGGATATCGAAGCCACTCAAGCACCTGTTGTGGGACAGAGTAGAGGGGAGTCACCCAGGGAAGAGGAAGAGACCCCCAATTTATCGGAGGAAGGAGGCGTTGGGGTGGAGGTGAACCGACAGCAGGCCGAAGAGTGGAAGGGCCGGCTGCCCTTGGACGTGATCCCCAAACGGTACAATGTGAGGCTGCAACCGTTCCTCACCACTGACGACGCCCAGGATTCGCTAATGGGCCGGAATTTCACCTTTGATGGGTTGGTGACCATCAAAGTGGAGTGCAATGAGCCCACTAACACTATCACCCTGCACACACTGGACCTGACGCTTCACAAGCCACCTAAAGTCACGTCGCTGAGCGGCGGCATGGATGCCCCGGACCTGTTCGAGAGTTACGAATTCGTGGTGGAGTACGACTTCCTCGTGATCACACTCAAAGAGAAACTTGCGAGTGGTCAGGATTACGAGATTAAACTGAATTACTCCGGGGAGCTCAATGACAAGCTTGCAGGATTCTACAGGAGCAAATACACTACAGCTGAAGGAGAAGAAAGGTGAGTCAGATAGATGGGGGGGGGGTTGGAAGCCGGGAGTGGGGTAGCTGGATAGAAGTTTCCTAAATAGGTGAACATCTCGTTTCATTTTGCACCACCAAAGACCGCAGTGCCTTGTGAGCCGATGAAAACTACGAATTCAAAGAATAGTGCCACGAGTCACATGTTAATGTACACAGCCAAGTTAGCATTAATCGAGAAGGCTTATTGAAAATAAATTCCTCGAACCTCATATTCATAACCGATAACCAAAGAGGCTTCTTAGCAAATATTCCCTCAATATTCCCATAGGAACAAAGAGCCAAGAGGCGGCGTTGTTATCACTCGTTTGTACTGGAAACCTATAATGGATGATTTTGCTTTGCTTTGACTGACTTTCTTGAATACAGTGCTTTCTAGACATAATATAATACGTTATAGAATCACGCACCATGACCCGACATAAAGGTTATTCAAAATTTATGTCCGTGAATGGTTTGAGAGACTTCCGATATTATTCGCCAGCTCGTATAAGGCCTTAAGTTACTGTGTAGTGTTACTGAAGGGCAAAGTTTTCTTCGGGTGTTCCAGTTATTTTCTTTTGAAGAAAAAATGCCGTTTTAGATTATATAAAAAGAATGAATGTGTTTGATTTGAATTAAACCCTAGAAGGAAAACATACTGTGGGAAATTAAAGTGCGAAAAATTCATCTTTAGGCACTTTCCTCACGGCCTCGGGAACAACACGAGGGAAAACCTATGGGTGGGCAATAGGAGGTCGTCCTTCCTGTGGAGTTTTGCTACCCTTAACATTTAGGAGGTGAGGGTTTTACGCGAGTTTCGCTCACAGTCGAGTAAGGAGGTCAATTCAAGTCCAGCCCCGCCAGTGGAATAATGCATGCAATCCAATTTTCGCTGGAATTTAATCATGCTGTTTGCGGTTTTTTTGAAATTGTATTGATATGTCGTTGAGAGCAAAATTCTCAACTTTAATGCCATTCACTACAAGAGAACAGAGAGCTTTCAAGTGCAACAATTAATTCCAACTGCAGATGACAAATTTTGAATAAAACAACTAGGTTGACTCACTTGTAGGCATTATTAAGATCACTGATTGTATATATTTTTGTCAGTATAGGTTGACTCACTTGTACGTTTGACCAATTTTATATAGAGAAATAGAAAATATGACTGTTTGGAACTTGAAAACACTTAGGCTAAAACGTAATTCCAAGTTGTTACGGTACTATGCAATGTACATGTAATTTTGAAAGCAGTCCTGGTAACTTTACCTTTGTGTCGCATTCCATGTTGTGAATTTTCATGTTGGCATTTTAATGGAATTTCTGTGCTCTTTTGAATTTACGAGCAGAGGTTCTTGTAAAATTAAGGAAGAAACTTGAATGTGAAAGGCTTTTTTTAGAAGCTTTTTTCTTTAATGCTTTTTGCTGTTTAAGCACAAGACAGTAAGTGAGTGAGCATAGTTTTCTTACAGATATTTAGATCCAGCAAATGTGGATTCTTAAATTGAACAGAACGTTTCCATTCAATAACACTGTCTTCCTCAAAAAGCGATGTTTTCAATAAGATGAACAAAAGGCGTGTCAAATACATTGCGTGTAGTTTTCATTCATTTCAGCGGAGTAAAATGTTGCACAAAAGATGCTCTTAACTAAAATCTATGTCATTCACCAACTATGCCCGCAGAAAAGGGTTGCATCATTATTATTCATCCTGTCGAGGTAGATCTCTTAACTCAGGCCAGGGATCGGTGTCTGAAACTATTCCATTGCTGACGTATTGGTTCGAGTAACTAATAGATCATAGAAAAGGTCACCTCTCTGGCATCTGTAATGTACACAATACACATCACACACAGGTGTTCAAACAGTCCCCAAATCTGGTTTTCAAATAAATGAGAGGTATGATAGACATAACTTCCTAGCCTTGAAAGGTTGTGATCGCTGGCATCAGCAAAATCATTATTGATTGACCTGCTGTTACTACTTATATTTGCTTTGGACATCACAGGTAGTTTTATTGCCAAGATTACGTATAAGCCTATACACGGTACAAGGTCTGGAACAATGCGTGATTAGTATAAGGCACTGTTCACCAGGACATTTGTCATCATAACGCTTGAATTTTCCGGAATATCAGTATCAACTTAAATAGAAGTAACAGTATCCATGGGAAAAAAAACTTTTTGCACATAAATTGCCATTTCGTATGAAGATAAGTGTCAGGCAGTTCAGTCTAGAAATGTAGAGTTTTTGGAAAGACACACTTTACCTTAAAGGGTCATGTTTACGTCGCAACTTCACTGTACAGGTAAGATTTATGGGAGACTATTGGGAGTTGTAGAAATGGAGGCGACTGAATGCCGGTAACTTGAAACTTTGCAATGTGTATGTACATGTATGTTCGGGTTGCTGCTGAAGCAGTAGTCTGTTCAAGCAATTAGTGCTGCACCGTTTTGTAAGAAGGATTCATTGCAAGAGTTCGCCTGAAAAAGATTACAGCTGTGTGGCCAGATTTTTTTTCCACTCCATAAGTAGTAGCGTCACGGTGGCCAAGGGAGTGTGGGATGATGGATGCAGATGGGGGGAACTTACAGGCTGGCGAATTTAAGGGCAAAATCAAGACAATAAAAATAAATTATGAATTCCAAAACACTCATCGTGAAAACTATTTTAAGATTATTGAATACCATTTTCCCCCAAAACATTTACAAATTATCTTGTAAATCATTCCACACATTTAATGACAAACGTATTTACGGCCTGATTCTGTGATTTATCGGAATGTGAGGAAAGACAATCGACTGGCCTACGTTGTGATTACAAAAAGAAGGTAAAATAGACAATTTACAAGACCTAATTAATGCAATCAAATGACGGAAAAAGACTTCACACGACCAGGCCCATAGGCGAACAACGGAAATGAGGAAGAGGCTGGGACAAAATCGGGCCAGCAACTCGACCCAAAGCAACTTCACGATCAATTTTTGACTGCAGAATGTTGGGATGTTTGCGAGCAAATGCAGAATCACGAGCAGAGGTACTAACCCTGGGACCTGAATAGCCTAACCGGAAACCGCACAAAAAACCTTCTTGCAAAAAGTGGGAGTCCTGAGTATTAGGGTAAGCCCGTAAAAAAGGGAGTATACTACTTAGTTTTACTGGGGTTGAGAAAGAGAAATCTGGGCCACACACGATGAGAGTAGTTTCACTGCGCGTTGAGATTAGTTTCACACTGCGCGATGAGAGTACTTCACTGCCTGATGGGAGTTGTTTCAGTGCGCAATCGGAGAGTTGTTTTACTGCGCGATCAGAGTAGTTTCATTGCGCGACGAGAGTAGTTTCACTGCGCGATGAGAGTTGTTTCACTGCGCGATGAGAGTTGTTTCAGTGCACAATGAGACTTGTTTTACTGCGCGATCAGAGTAGTTTCACTGCGCGACGGTTGTTTCACTGCGCGATGAGAGTTGTTTCACTGCGCGATGAGAGTACTTCCCTGCGATGAGAATTGTTTGGCTTATCTGATAGTATAGGTCCCAATTTTCGTACTTTTGGGAATGATCAGAGGAGTTCACTAAGTTCATTTTAATGTAGCCTGAACGTTGACCTCTGAAACTAACCACTTCTGTAATCCTTGGGTTGGGAAATAATGTGCAAAGATTTTATTAAAAATTGGATTCTTATTAAAATTTTAGAACTTGTGGGCCTAATCATTTTCTTTCGTTTACGTCTTTAAAAATCACCTTAGAAATTGCCTTTGTAAATTATTTTTCTAGCATATTAAGAAATTGAAAAAAAAAAGGCCTGACCTGAAGAGAAATAGCTTGTCAGAAATTGACCTCTCATTTCTGTAAATCTCATTTACATCACAATCAGGTGACTCGTTGTATTCCCACACACATTAAATGTGACAAAACTATTTAGTGGCTGTCTTTAAGTAGAAGCTGAAATTTAAAAAAGAAAGGAAAGGAAAAGTTTAAGATCAAAAGTGCATTGAAGATCATTTTTAAAGTTATTTTTTCAGGTTCATATCACCGTCTGCTCGAGTCTTTATAATTTTAAGTTCTTCTCTCTCTATATATATATAAAAAAATCCAGACAAAAGCCGCGCGAAATTGAAAAGAAAATTGTCCCAGTGGTCATAAATTCGAATTTCCAGTAAAAATACGAGGCCATAATCTTCCTGGGCGTTACTAAGTGGCGCAATTTCTTTATATATTTCGGTGTTCTCTACGGTGTTCCTTACCAACACCTCGCCGCTGAACGACTCTTATTGCGTAGTGAAACAACTCTTACTGTGCAGTGCAGTGATATGCACAGGGTAATGTGGCTTGAATAGATATAGAACACCACAGTGGAGCAAATCACAAGTAATAAATAAGTGTCCTGCCATAAAATTCTAATACAGTGATCGAGGTGTCCTTTTTCATCGTTTTCTTATTAAAGATGAAAAGACCAATGGTTCTTCCAACATTCCTGAAAGATTAGTTCAAAGCTCCAAAATGCCGGCACATGTTTGGAAGAATTACAACATGGTTGGAATGAATCTGATTTTCAGGCAAACTTGAACTCTCATTCTGATTGGTCGACCCATGGCAGCAAACAATGTGATATATAATTTATTGTACGGTTCATAGTACTTTGATCTCCATTAGAAAGACTGGATAGGACACGGTGTCCTCCATCTCGTGCACGCACGCGTGTCATCGGTGAAGGTTTGAAAGTTTAAATTACGCTTGTCACACCAGACTGGCGCGCGCACGTCACGTAATGCTGCGCACGGGAAATTAGTCTGGCTGACGAGCTTGTTGCTTCAGGTTCTCTCTCTTTGTTAAGGAAAAATTGATGAAAAATTGTTCGGACTTGCGCAGCCCTCAGTCTGGATGTCGATAACCTCACAGCTGGACTTGCCCTTCAGTCGTAAGTCTCAGAAACAAACACTCGAGGACTGAGGCGTATTAATTCGGCAAAGACAAATAATTTGTGGAAGCCATGATGCTA